GTAATTAACCGATTCACTTATTAATAATCAATCTTATGGCAGTCCCCTGCTGATTATTTACATACATTAACTTTTTTAGACTCGCTAACATAGCACATATTTGCTAATCAGTCAGTGCACTGTATCGCATTGCAACATATCACTACATATCCACATACGCCTACGTATTTCCCTCGAACATACACATACATACAGCTTATATACACAAATAAATTCTTAAAATTTCAGACGTATGCATGTAAACTATTTTCATATTTTAATTATTAGTTGCGCACCATATTTCATATTTTTTATAATTTTCATTCTTTTTCAAGTTATATACCTACATACATATATAAATGACCTGACTTATTTTTTATCTTTATTATTTTTGATTTTTTTTTAATACTGTTGTCGTTTACCATATCAAATAAACCACGTTGAGCAATCAAGATCTAATATAATTTTAAGGTTACCAACAAAAAAAATAAATAAGTTTTCGTACTTAAAGTTAGAATTTTTAAAGCCAATATAAATGTACTCTTTTCATACATATGTAGTTAAATTATGCTCCGCTAAATAAATGATAATATACTTTAGGGCGGGCTGAACATCCGATTTATTTAAATTTGTATTGTATTGTTAGGTGCAAAAATGTGGTTCATTTTGCTCTAAAAAAGTCTGTGCGAAAGATACAAATTTATAAGGTCAATACCTTAGGCCCGTCCATATCAATTAAAGTTCAAAGTGTTCAAAAAAAGTTGCTAGCTTACTACGATCGATTTAATTCCCTACAAAAAATGTGCATATACCAAATTATGTAATACGAGGGCCAGATTAAGGGAGGCCTCCACATGTGATGACAAAAAAACAAAAATTTTTTTTTCAGAGCTCACAGAAAATATCGCTAGGTATTAAGAAGATTTCTCAGCACCAATCAATTTCTTGCGGAACGTAGCTTAGCTTTAACACCAATCAATTAATCGTGAATGCAAGTTACATGAAAAGCTTAAATTCACGCGAACAATTCTTAACTTTTACTCCAAATTGTGGCCACACAGGTAAAGAGCTGGCGAATGCCATTCTTCAGTTTTTAAAGAAACATAGCGTTGATATACACGACTGCCGTGGTCAGTCGCCAATTACAAAGTAATTCTGATGAGAATTCCAAAATATAAAAGATGAACAGAAATAGTACGTGGTTAGAAGTCAAGCCCGAGGACTGGTAAATACATACGTTACCTTTTTTCATGATATTCTTGAAAGCTTCAATTCAACCATAAAAGAATAAAGCGAATCAACAGAGATGTTTTTGTAAGTTCAGAAATTATACTGATTTATTCTATGATGGAAAAATACTGCACAAGTGAAAAAGCCTTCTCCGATATGAGATTGATCAATAACTTATTTATCAATCTAAGCTCAGAAATAGATATACTGCGGGAATTCGACTTTGTTGATGTCGTTGCAAAATTCTCAGCTCAAAAGTCTCGGAAATGGTACTTCCAGTAGTAGCATTTTATTCCCAAGTATTAAATGCTGCAAGGTATGAAATTGAGAGTCTCCATAACTTTATTATTTATGAAATGCGAATCTGATTATATAAACGATACTGTTAGAAATACAATTTTTTCCAATTAATTGTATGTAATATTAACTCAAAAAGGGGAAACCACATGTATGACGGCCCAGAGCCCCCACATTCTTATTGCGGCCCTGTGTAGGACTGATAGTTTTGGAGATAATTGCAATTTCAGTCAAAAAGTTTTTAGTTTTGGACATTGATACTTATAATCAGGGAACGGATTTTATGGAAATTGCCTTTTTTTCTGCTAAAGAGATAAAGTATATTCGATTAAGAATGTCCACGATTTAGCTTTCCCTGATTCGATATATACACATTTGATGTTGCCTTTTTTAAGATATTTGCCTGTTTTAAGATATTTGCCTTTTCTTGCCTTTTCTACCTTTAAAAAAGTGATTATAGCATTTACAAGTTTTTTTTTAAGATTAAAAAATATACACATGCCCATGCGGCTTATAGAAGCGCAGGGACCTCTTGCCAAATTGGTATTGGAAAAATTCAAAGCCGTTTT